TCTGAGAGAGAGAGAATGAGAGAGAGCACATGAGAGGGATTAGGGTCAGAGGGAGAAGCAGACTCCCCGCCGAGCAGGGAGCCCGATGCGGGACTCGGTCCAGGGACTCCAGGATCATGACCTGAGCCGAAGGCAGTCGCTTAACCAACTGAGCCACCCAGGCGCCCATTCTGGAACATTCTTATCATTCCCGCAAGAAACCTGGTATTAGCAAGTACTAGCGATTACTGCCAGCAATCACTTCCTAGTGCCCGTTTCTCCTCAGCCCCAAATCTACTTTCAATCTCTATACGTTTGCCTATTCTGGACATTTTATATGAATGAAATTATAAAGTATGCGGCCTTTGTGTCTGTCACTTAGCATAATATTTTCAAAGTTCATTCATGTTGTAATATGTACGAGTATTTCATTTCTTTTCATGGCCAAATAATATTCCGTTGTATGGATATATCACATTTGTTTATTCATTGGTTAGTTGGTGGGTATTTGGATTGTTTCCATTTTGGGCTTTAAGAATAATGCTGCCGTGAACTTTAGTGTACAAGTTTTTGTGTGAGCATATTTTTCTTTGGATATATACTTGGAGGGGAATTGCTGGGTTATATGGTCTCTCTGTGCTTAACTTTTTTTTAAGGCTTTAACTTTCATTTTTAAGTAATTGCTACACCCAAAGTGGGACTCAAACCTACAACCCTGAGATCAAGAGCCATGTGCTCTACCGACTGAACCAGCCAGGTACCCCTTTATTTAATAAAAGAAAATTAAATTTTTTTAAGTAGCATGCTTCACTTTTCGAGGAACTACCAGACTGTTTTCCCCAGCGCCTGCAGCATTTTACCTTCGTACCAGTGTATGAGGGTTTCCAGTAGTTTTTTTGAATAGTTTTATTAAAGTCATTTTCTAATCTTTCTAAAAAGGATCTATAAATTGGCTTAAATCATACAGCTCCGTGCTTTGTTTTGCTTTGCAAATTTGTAATAAAATATGCCGGGAATGCCTCCCATGTGAGAAAAAATGAGCTATTTTAATCATAAAATATATACTACAGCCTCTGTTATCTCTAATCCAGAATATTTTTCTATTCGACCCTAACACCTGTGGCCTCCGGACTATTTGGCCGACCCCGACAGGTAAGTACGAGGATGAGTCCCCGACTTGGCCAGTCCTGCTGGAGAGGGCTTGCTGAGTGAGCCCTCAGCCTCCTGTCCACCCCTTTTCCGCAATGCAGAGCGGCGGCGAACTACATTTCCCAGAATGCCCCCGCTGGGAGGTTGGAGTTGGCACGAAAGGAATTCGGGGGGAAATTTGGACGGTAGACGCGGAAGGGACGCTGTTCGTCTCCAGAGGTGGTGACAGCCGGATGCCGAGCGGATGTGAGAGTCGCCCAGGCTGCCCGGCGAGCTGTCCCGAGCCCCCCCGCTTCGGGCCGAGACCGTCAGCGACCGCTCGTGCCTTCGCAGCCGCCGCCCCAGCTCGGCTCCCTCCCTGCTCGTCCAACAACCGTGGAAGCCCCTCCCGCGGCATTAGACCCTAGACCCAGAAGACGTAGAGTGGCTTGTGTTTTCCGGAACAAACCCTGAATCATACATGTGTATATGGGGCAGAGGTACCATTTAACGTTTAATATATTTAAAATACAATGGGGCGGGTGCGGGGAATGTGATGTGTCTAGAGACAGTGTTTTTGCCCCTATGGGAAATTTCTGTTTCGGAGGCAAACTGGAGTCAGCCTTGCTAGTCTTAATTTATCATGAGCATTAAACAACAACAAAAAAGCATTTAAAAGTGTCGTTAAAAACTCATTGTAAGCTCCATTTAATGGTAGAATAATAATCCATCAAACAGATATCTTATGATTTAACGAACTAGTCCCAAAAGGTTGGCATTTAGGCTATTGTTTAAAATTGTTTTGGCAATTATGAATAATCTTGAGAAGAGCGATTCTTATGATTACTTTCTTTAGACAGATTCCAAAAAGTGGTTATTTCTGGTTCAAAGAATATAAACATATTAAAGATTATGAATACACACTGCTAGATTGGTTTCCAGAAATGTAGCAATTTACACTCCTACAAGTAGTTACCAAGAATTTGTCTTGCCTGTCAGGACAGACTATGACTGCCATCAAATACTAGAATATAACAGTAATGTTTGCTAATTTGCTAGGTAAAATTTCAGGTTTAATTTTTATTCACTTGTTGATTAGCCAAGATTGTGTTCTCTCTCTCTCTCTTCCTTCCCTTCCTAACTTCCGTCCCTCCCCTCCCCCTTTCTCCCTTTCCCCTTCCTTCTCTTCCTCTTCCCTCCCTTCTCTCCTCTCTTCTTTTCCTTTCCCTCTTTTTTCTTTCTTCCCTTCCTTTATTCTCTTTCCCTCCCTCCTTCTTTCCCTCTATTCTTCCTTCCTTTCTAGAATTCACATGCTTTGCCTATAAATCTGTCAAATACCATGTGTTTATAAATTCCCCCAACTTCCTGTTGCATTTAATTCTGTTTGCATATAATTTTATTATATATCTTAATAGTTTTTATGTAGCAAAAATCTATTCCTTTAGAATTTCTAACATTGCTTTCAATATTAGTTTATTTGCCATTTGGAAATAAGATAAATACTACCCTCTATTTTCTGTTATTTATGGCTTGATTTAAAATTATGGCTTGATTTTATACATTACCTCTTTCACTTTACCTGAACTCTTTGGGGCGTGGGGGTGGGGCATATATGAAAAGAAGAAGATGTAACTTAATTTTTCCCTGAAGCAACTAGTTGCTTGAGCACCCTTTGGACAAATCCTACCTTTACGTAATTATATTTTCAGATTCTAAATGTGGCTGTTTTAAATAATTAAGACATGCATGTTGAAGAAAGTTCAAACACCTCAGAAATACATAATGTGGAAAATGAAAGAATCCCACCCCTTAAAGGTAACCACGGCTGATGATTTAGTGAATTTTTTAAAATTTAGCTTTTTATTTTTCATTTTATTTATTTTTTAAAGACTTAGTTATTTATTATTTGAGAGACTGAGAGACAGAGAGAGAGAGAGCATGCGTATGCTTACACGTCCAAGTATGGTGGAGAGGGGCAGAGGGAGAGGGAGAGAGAGAAGCTCAAGCAGACTCCTCACTGAGCACTGAGCTTGGAGCCCCACGCTGGGCTGGATCCCAGGACCCTGAGACCATGACTTGAGCCGAAATCAAGGGTCCGGCACTTAACCCACCGAGCCACCCACGCGCCCCTAAAATTTAGCTTTTTAAATTGAGGTATGGTTTATAAAAATAATATGCATAGATTTTAAATGTACAGTTTGATGAGTTTTGACAAATATATATGCCTATATAACCATCAGCCAATCAAGATACAAAACATTTGTGCACCCAAAAAGTTCTCTCTTGCCCCTTTCCAGTCAATCCCCATTTTCCCAAAGCAACAACTATTCCAATTTCAATCTCTTTGGTCTTGTTTTGACTGTTCTTAAACTTCATATAAATGGAATCATAAGTATAAACTCATTTATGTCTGGCTTCTTTCACTCAACATAATTCTTTTGAGAGTCATCTATGTTAATCTGTGTATTAGCACTTCTATTTATTGCTGAATAGTTTTCCAGTGCATGGATAAGTCACAGTTTGTTTATCCATTCACTTATTGATGGACATAGGAGTCCTTTCCAGTTTGAGGCTATGTCAAATAAATCTGCTAAGAACATTCTAGTTCAAGACTTTCTGTAAACATTTCCAGAGTGGAATTCCTGGGGCATAGGGTAGGTGTAACTTAAATTTTATAAGCAACGGACATACGGTTTTTCAAAGTGGTTGTACCGTTTAACCATCCACCAGCAGTGTGGAACAGCTGCTTCACATTCTCACCAAAACTTGATATTATCTTTTGCGTGTGATTCTATTTTTAATATATTTTGTTAAAATTTTAGCACAGTCACACAAGTTGCAAGTACAATACAGAGAACATTTTCCTTCACCATTTTAGAATAAGTTGCCAACCTGATGCTCCATTCCCCCCAATTCTTGAGTGTGTATTTTACACAATCAAGGACATTCTCCTACATAATGATCAAAATTAGGAAGCTAATCTTGGTGCACAAAAAACATCTAATCCTCAGACACTATTCACTATTCAATTTAACAATTGTCCTAATAATGTTTTTTTCTAGTAAGAGGATCCTGTTCAAAAAGTCTATGTTGCAGGGCGCCTGGGTGGCTCAGTTGGTTAAGCGACTGCCTTCGGCTCAGGTCATGATCCTGGAGTCCCGGGGTTGAGTCCCGCATCAGGCTCCCTGCTCGGCGGGGAGTCTGCTTCTCCCTCTGACCCTCCCCACTCTCATGTGCTCTCTCTCATTCTCTCTCTCTCAAATAAATAAAT